TGCGTATTCCACTATGGACTTCGCCGATTTTGAGACTGTGCGCCTATGCGCATTCCACTGTGGACTTTGTCGATTTTGAGACTGTGCGCCTATGCACATTCCGCTGAGGGCTTTTGCCGATCTTGAGACTGTGCGTCTATGCGCACTTCATGTGTGGACAACTTCTGAACTTGAGCTTGTACGCCCATGCGTATTTCATCTAAGAACATTTCTAGTCTTGAGTATGTGCCTCGATGCACATTTTATGTGTGGCCATTGCTGAGCCCGTGCGCCCATGCGCACTTCATCTGCGAACGATTGCTGATCTTGAGCCTGTGCGCCCATGCGCACTTTATGCGTGGACATTACTGATCCTGAACTAGTGTGCCCATGTGCACTTCAACTAAGGTCATTGCTGATCTTGAGCTAGTGCGCTCATGCGCACTTTACCTGTGGACATTTTCGATCTTGAGCCAGTGCACTTACATCTGTGGGACGCTGCAAATCTCGTGACATTGCTGCTCACACATCAATTATTATTTGTGGGAATGTTATGCGACATTGCCGATTATCCGGATCTGTGCGACATTGTATGACATTGACACTTGCGCTTTGCGCACTTCATTTTCCGGACCCGTGTGACAATTACTGTGGGTGTGCGCCCGTGCCTAGTGTCGCGAATTCAGTGTGCGCCCAGGCCCGGGCTGATTGATTTCGCGCGCGCCCAGGCTCAAACTTGCTGATTGAGTGTGCACCCAAGCCCGAACTTGCTGATTGAGTGCGCGCCCAGGCTCGGACTGGCTGTATGAGTGCACGCCCTGGCCAGGCAATGCCGCTGTTTAGCCCTTCCATCGAGTTGCTGCTGTTTAGCCAGGCCCGTTCAGGCGGGCCCATTCCTTGAGATTGCTACTGTTCAGTCGAGCCCTTTCAGGCGGGCCCATTCTTTAAGATTGTTGCTGTTTAGCTGGGCCCACTCAGGTGGGCCCTTGCATTGACTTGCTGATTGTCGTTCGGTCGGGCCCAAGCGTTGGAGGGAGTATTTACTCTCACAGGGGTGCAGTCATTGTCCAAGTTGGCCTGTCATCGTGAGACAACCCCTACGTGGGGCGTCATCAGGGCAAATGAGTCCCCTACTTCAAGACACACGCTGGTGATTACCTACTTGGTAAAGGGGGCAGGGAAGGATGGAGTGAAGGGCACCACTTATGACAGGATTGTAGATTAGATATTTTGTAGGGAGAGCTATTGGAGGGATAATTGGCTGTATGTGGTGTTCCCTCACGTACCTTTAGCACCCGAAGACGCACTCTTCGATTTTGATGGGTGCAATCCCAAACCCCTCAGCGAGGCGCGCAACAAAGGGAAGAGACAAAAGGATGAGAAGGAGAGAGAGAGCCAGATCCAGGGTCCCAATCACTACTTCCATGCAGCGATTGGAGACGAATGAGTTTGATCTTGACCCTTGTAGCGTGAGCGACATCGATCTTGGGGACTACTTCGATTGGGACACTTACAGAGACCGAGTTTGTTGGCGATAACTTGAGCGCTGGAGACCGGTAAGCGGCGGCGGCGGCGAGCGACATTGAGACGGATTGCATATCTCCTTGCACGGTACTTGCCAGAGGGAGATTGACTCCTATATGTCAGGCGAGCCTAGGACTGAGGCTGTTGTTGGACCCCCAAGAAGGGAAGGGCTTGTCCCATATCTTGGAAATGGCTACAGTCATTTGGTCAGAGCGGACTTTGCCATGCAGGTTTTTTGAAAGCCACTTTATGGAGACAGTTTCCTTGAGGTTTCATATGTTTACATCGACAGGAGGGGACATATTGAGATACCGATTGGAGCTACGAGCGATATTACGCTTGCAGAGGAGTTCTACCTCAGGAGTGTTGCAGACGAGGAGATGGCTAACTGCATGGCATATATCAGCAAGATCGATCCTGCATCGTCTTTTGACATCAGCTATGTGGTCCCAAAGTCGATAGCCACTCAGGTTCTTAATGATGAGGAGGACCAGCGTGTACCAGATGTGGAGTCCCAGACAGTAGGGCCTACTCATGAGGGGGTACCACTTATCATTATCGACTGAGACTCTTTTCTTCTAGTCATCGTGATGTATTATGACATTATTATGATTTACCAATGACTGCAGCCCTCCAATGGCTGCTCCCTGCATTCCCTGTGTATTACTCTTCAGTCTCGTGTCTCTGGTCATGCTCTTGCAGAGTCTGGTTTCTGGTCTTCTTGCCATGTCAGTGTCATTTGTCTTATGATGCATGTATGTTATTTTCCTCTTCTCATTATACAGGTTACACTCAAGGCTACTTGAAGGACTCCTGGATAATAGGGACTCCAGTGACCTTGAGTCTGACCTTCATACGGGGTCAGGTGCAGGTGATAAACCCGAATGCCTCACTCTAAGCCGTGTCGCCGCTGGCAGGAGGGATAACGCTGACTACTCGACTGTATAACTAAGTGTGACAAAGGCAGTTTCTGAATGCACTTTTATATATAACCCCTTTATACTTACCAAAATCCTGCGTGACAGCCTGCCAGTCCACCAACCCGCTCCACTCGGCCCGCGGAGGGACCTCGAACCTGGCCCTGGACGCGGTGGGGGCACGACAGCGAGTGGGGGGAAGGGTCGTGCGGGTGAGCGATAGC